TTACCATATGACCTAGCAATTCTGCTTCTAGATGTATAACCAAGATGATAGAAAACATATATCCATGAAAAATTTGTACATGAATGTTCACAGCAGCATTATTCATAATAGCCAAAAAGTAGAAACAACCAGATATTCATCAGCTGATGAATGGATAAACAAAATTTGGTATGTACATACAATGAAACATTATTCAGCCATCAAAAGCAATGAAGTACTGATGCATGCTATGACAGGGATGAATCTTGCAATGTTGAGTGAAAAAAGCCAGATACAAGAGGCATTATTATATGATTCCATCCATATGAAATGTCCAGCATAGGCAAATCTATAGAATCAGAATGTAGGTTAGTGGTTGCCAGAGACTTGGGGGAGGAGAGTGACTGTCAGTGGATATGAAGTTTTTGTGGAGGGAGTGCATGGTGGAGAGTAATGAAAATACATTGGAATTTGATAGTCATGATTGTACAACTTTGCGAATATACTAAAAACCACTGAATTGTGCACTCTAAAAGGGTGAATTTTATGGTATGTGAATTACATAAAAAATGAAAAATATTTTAAGAAGACAACATTATAATCTACATACTTGATCGAATGGAATCTGTTTTCTATGTTAAGCAGACTGGCAACCTAAATTTTGCCAAAATGAACTTCTGTATTTGCCAGCTGTGAAAGGTTTAATCACATGTTCTGTATGTCCTTGAATGTCATGACACTTGTTTGGCACTTTCCATTCCCTTCAGTTTTTCTGAACTGGCTTTTTGCCAACTAAAGCTCTAGAAACTTAGGACTTAGATCACCAATAAAGAAAATATTGGGCAGACAGACACTTGTGTAAAGATTTTTGTAATTAAAATTGAACAGAGTCCGCCAATACAAACTGATTCATTCAGTGTGATCTGCAAAGTCACTTAAATGATATAGTTTTGATATAAGAAGCATTGAACACCCCCCCCCCAAAAAAAAAAAAAAAAAAACGACAGCAACTTGTCTGTTCCCCTTCCCCCAACTCCCCAGCACTGTTCCCATCCCCCCCCCCCCCCAAAAAAAAAAAAAAACTAACCAGGAGAGTCATTGTTGACACTAGTTATATGAAACCATTTTCAAATTTTGTTTATGTAGGTGGCAATTTTATGTCAGTTCCTCAGAGAAATTGATTACAAAACAGCCTTTAAATCGCTGCAAGAACAAAACAGGTATGAATGATTTTTAAAATAAAATGAAGTTGAAATTTTTCTGCTTAAGAAAGAGGAAGTAACTGAATTCTGTTTTTTCAGTCATGATGCTATGGACTCCTACTATGACTACATATGGGATGTTACCATTTTGGAATACTTGACTTGTATCCTTTCATCAACATATGTGATATTAGGATAGTTTATTTCTATAAATTAAAGAAGTATTTAATATTGTGTATTTTCTAAAAGAAACCTGAGAAACAGAGTTGAGATTCTATTGTGGTTTCTAATAGTATCAGATTTATTATTCTTAACTGATTCATTTAGATCTTCATCATAAAAGAGGAGAAACAGATAAAAGACAAATTGCAGTAAGTAACTTGATGCCTTTCTTCAGTGATGTACTTAATTTTCCTAATATTGAACCATTGTTAAGATTTGAACCAACAATAAGATTTGTGTTCCTAGTTACTGCCAAAGTTTGGCTATCAGTGTTTACTTTTTAAAGGATCCTATTTTGATAATACAGCTTTTACATCTAGTTTATTTCATATTAAAATGTTAGATTGTGTCATCTCTCTGCTCCAGACCTTTAAATGGTTTCCCACCTCACACAACACCAAAGTCCATACAATGGCCACATATGACCTGACTTGTAGCTGCCTATCCAACTCCCCCTTCCTAACTTCTGCTACACGAATACCCCTACTGTTCTTGGAACATGCCAAGAACATTCACCACCTTGAAGGGCTTTTGAAATTTTCTTTTCCAGGAACATTCTTTAACTTCTCTCAGGTCTATCCTCAAATGTTACCTTCTTAGTAATCATCCTTTCCTAACCATCTTATAAAATTGCAGTTGTCTTTCCTCCCTTTCCCCCTAGTACTCTTATTCTCATTTCCCTATAAAAATTTTTCTCCATACGTACATCTGACATACTATCTATTTATTTTTTGGCTATTTCCCCATGAGGGTAGAGACTTGGTTTTTTCATTGCTAATACTTAGAATGGTGTTGGCAAGTAATAGATGCTCGATAGTTACAGAATAGATTATTTATTGAAATTTGACTTATAAGCCAAAACATTATAAATGTTATGGCCGTTTTTATTTGCCTAACATTTGCTGCATCAGTATCACCATAGATACTTTCTCTTCACTCATATTTATAAAAGTATATGCTGTCTATTAAGTGTCTTTTAAAGCTTTGTACTCAGACCAAATTGTATAGCCGTTAGAGGATAATAGCATCTTAAAAACAAAACAATAGAAAGGAGTAAGAACATGAAGCCAGATCCACTTGGAGGCTCCTTATTCTCCTATATTTCCAATTTATCCAGAGCTGGACGGCAATACTGAAGCTTTCCCAGTTCCCTGATACTATTTCCAAACCATCTCTACTTGTATCATTTTTTTAGCCCTTTCTCCTACAAAGCTTATACCTACCTCTTTACTCCCTTACTTAAGCAACCTCCTGGTTATTCCTCTACATGCATCAAAAGATCTGTGGTTCATGTATTCAGCACCGCTAGCTTTACAAGTCCATTGTCATCTTTACTCTGCATCAGCACCCCCACCTGTATGTTACTGTCAGTCAGAATTGTCCTGCTAAGAATTATCTGTCTCTTACTTCTGGCTTTCATGTTCCTTGTGATCAGTGTGATATTCAAGTTCATGGCCAATGTTTTCCTAGTCTGTCAGTCTCTTCCCAGCTTCCCTTCCTCCCCTACTCACCAAGAGTACATCAAATACCAGTCTGTGCACCTCAGAGATCTGATACCGTTGGTCTGAGATGAGGCCCTGAAATCTAATTTTTAAGTTTCTTAGGTAGGTCTGATAACAGACCAGATTTGGGAACCCCAGCTACTATTTGATTGACTGTCAGAACTACTGTTTGATCAATATTTTCAGTATCTTTGCGTTTTTGTCCTTCACCTCACCTGGAAAACTCCTGTGAGTCAGTTCAAAAATGTTTTCTTTTCTGAGGCAGTGAGTCCTGTTGGGAAAAGGCCTACAACTATATATACTGGTGCCACCACCAAACTATGGTCTCCAACTATAGCTAGCCCCTCATCTCTTTTGTTTTACCTACCAGTAGGTAAAACATTCTTTTCAGGGGCTATTTTAGACTTTCCTCCTGTTAAGCCCGTCCCATTTTAAGCTTTCCCATTTCCATTTTCAGTAACTTCCTTGCCTGTGTTTGGAATAGACCAGAAAAAAGACCAGCTCCTGTCCTCATAGAAGTTAGTCTTGGGAATTGTTGCCCTGGAAGTGCCAGCTTCAAATTCCTGTTTCAAGTCCTGCTTTCTGCCTTTAAAATAACCCTCAATTTTACTCATCATTAAGGCTACTCTTTTAGTCAGTAAAAAGTTATGCTTCTCCTTGAGGAAAGCAAGTTCTTAGCTTTTGATTGTCCTTTCAGTGACCTTTTAATTAGTTATCTCATCTCCTATAATGTCAGCTTCTCCTATAGCCTATTAACTTTTTCATCCTTAATTAAAACTTTCCTTGGCTGTGCCTCCACTTCCTTCATCCCTTTTCTGCTTAGTGTTTTGAAGCTCTTCAACCAAGTGCAATTTGACTTCTCCCATCACCACTCTTAACTTTTTTTCCCTGGGTCACCAAATGCCAAAGCCATTGGATACTTTTTAATCCGTTTCCTTCCTTCTTGAAATTTTTTATTCCTTTGGCTTCCCCAATATTTTTATTCTTTTTCCTGACTGTTCTGCCTTTTCTTTTTTGTGGGTATCTCCCTCTGTCTACCCCTTAAACTTGGTTTTCCCAAGTCCTTGGGTTATTTTCTGATTGCCCTACACTCTCCCCAGGTAATCTCATTTACTCATGGTTTTGACTACTACCCATGTAGGATGTATCATTTCTCTCAAATATCTAGCTCCTATTCGAACTTCTGTCTTATACTTTGGACTTTTATAGCCAGTCGTCTTCAGGATATTTTCCTTGGAATAACTTAGTTATACGCCACTCCCAGGTTTTTCCACATGTATCCTTCATACTAAAATAGCATCATTTAGCAATTCTTCCTATTTCCTAAGTGATCATTTCTGAATAGTCTTATCTCCCTTCAAGCTAGGTATCAGAATAGTCTGTTAAAGTTCTCATTTTTTAAAAAAAAATCTAGAGTTAGATTACCTTTTAATCCAAAGGTAATTCTAAGGTCCTAAAATATGCTGTTATGAAACACTGTGTGGAAGAATACTATGGATTTTTAGTAGGCTGAGATACTTCTTTGCAATCGTGAAAGAAATGAGTCATTAAATGATAAAGTGCTGTTTTTGCATATTAAAAAGTGAAGCCCTGAAACATGAATTCAGATTTTTTCAAACTATTTTTATAGAAGCCTTAATTTAACTATAAAAATATGTGTCAAATTACATGTGGAGTTTACTGATATTTTAGTCAAATAAACTTACATGTTTATTAAGTACATTATTACATGTACTTAATGCTACTTAAGGTAATGACATAAGCTATGGTTCAGCAATTGATCTTTTCCTTGAGTGGTTTTAGTCAGTCTTTAAGTTAATTTCTTCCACACCTCTTAGCATATACAATTAGTTTCATTTAATCATTAAACTAACTTTATAATTGTTATCATGTAGGTAGTTTTATATCATGTATACTAGCAAGATTTTATTTTTTGACCAGACCTCTACTAACATCACTTTTCTGTTTTGGAAGATTAAAGCCATCGGCCAGACAGAACTGAACACAAGCAACCCAGAAGAAGTGTTACAGCTAGCAGCACAGAGAAGGAAAAAAAAGTTTCTCCAAGCAATGGCAAAACTTTACTTTTAAGTAGTTAAAATTTTTTAACTTTTATTTTTTAAACAATGGGCTAAAAAACAGTATTAAAAGATTAAGTTTATATAATACACATGTACACATTTAGTGGTGTTTTCTTTGCAGACAATACTGAAACATTAGTTTAAAAACAAAAACTATACAGAAGACTTCATACCATAATAGCTTAAATTTATAATTTATTCAAAGGAAGAAGAGATTCACATATCCAGTAACAGAATAAACTGGCACTCAAGTGTAATTTGTTTTCTAATTAAATGGGTTTTGAGGCTGAAATTTCATTTTTAAAAAACTAAAATATTTATGTAGAATTAGATAGTCTATATAGAGCAAATTCTTATGTCAAGTTTATTTTGTTTTCTGTTTTTTTAATAAATAGATTTCTGGGAGTCAGTATACATTTAATACTTTTCTGCCTTAAGAAAATAGAAGTTTAGGTCAAGTGTTAAGCTTTATCACTTTGACGCTGTCCTTAACTCATGTAGGAATTTAAAAAGGACCTTAACAGTTTTGCAAACATAAATATTGCCTTAGTCACACTAAAATAAAAAAAAAAAAAAATCCTTAGGGATACCTTAGAGTAATAAAGTGACTTTCTCATATAAATAGTTTGAAAGAGTACTTAAGTTTTTCACCCAAATTGTGACGTACAAAAAAGTTACTGTAAAGTAACCTATGTCAAAGCCCCAAGTAGGAGCAGCCACAGCATTTATCTGGTTTATAATTTCTTTGGTATTCCCACTGTTTAGAGCATAGTTTAACATCATGTTCATCTAAGCCTTACTGATTAAAAATGTTATGGCAAGGCAAATAAACTAATTAAGAAACAGATTATAAGTTCACCATTTGTAAAAATTCAAGTTTTATAATAGCTTGCTACAGCAGCCGTTGATAAATTAGTCACCTTATTACAAAACTAAGTCTGTAAACAGGTTTAAATTTTATGTTCAAAAACCAAATTGCACTAGTCAAGAGTATATGAATTTTGAGAATCTAAAAACTAGATTCAAAGTATTGTGTCACTTAATATACCCTTTAAGGTAGCACTTATCTAGTCTAAAACTTCAATGATAAAATTCCTGGTTTATCAAGATAAACAGAGTAACACTGGATCAAAAAAATTTTATGGCATAAATCATGGCTGGCTTCAATCAAGTCACCTGGGAAATGCATCTTTGTAAACAAATCCTGCTGTTTCTTTAAACAGCTAACATAGGAATGAAATAAGTTCCTTAGTGCCAATTTTAAGTGGTTTTTTAAAATCAAAGAATGGCAGTGAAATTTCTGAATTGGCTACGACAGTCACAGCACTATTTTCCTGTAAAACTTTAGTAGTTCAGTTCTATGAAATTCTACCCAATACTCCGTCAATTCCAACTTGTTTGCTTAGTTAATGTTAGTGTTTTCCTGGTTGTTTTTCAGTGCTCTTCGGTGGTGTCATAATGCCTCCACTGCATACTGGTGACAACTGTCCCCCCTTCCTGAAGGTGTTCACATAATTTACTTCATCCTGTACATGGGAAGAAATGATGCAGCGATTAATAGCCTAAATATAAAGCATTGATATAGTAAAATAAAGTCAAACCAGACTTTTGGGTACTAATTCGAGGCTACTTAGGCCTAATATAATAGTGTCTTTTATGTCTTTGTAACTGACCAATCATATTCGAGAGGTTCAGCAATTTGAACTGTTGTAACTAGTTTTTAAAATTTACCTGGACAACTGTTATTGATCTTGAGAAACTTCACAGATTTTGCTTTGACTTCTAAGTTATTTTATTAACTTTAATGCATTTTGAAATCATTATGCCCATTAGAAGTTTCTAGCCCCTTAAGAGTCTTACATAACTGCCAGAAGTTTTATTCTAGAGCATCATTTTGTCAGTTTCAGTGACTTAATACATAGTAAGACCAAAAACTCCACAAGAAACATACCAGCATAGCCAGGTAATTTGTATGTGTCTGGATATTGTGTCTGTCTTCCATAGAAATCTTCTTAAAAACCTTCAGCTTCACTGGAGTAGTACTTTTTACTACACTGACAAAAGGCACCATCCAATCTACACATTCAGAAATGTTGTCCCATTCCAAACCTAGATAGAGAAAAGTTAGCAAAATGTGAAGGTTACCTCAGAAGCTATCTAACACATGCCTAATGTATTTGTTCCTGCTTCCAAATGTAAGGTTACTTTAAAATGCATTTTAAAAAAATCAAGTTTGGTAAGTCAAAACAGATCATCATTCTCAAACTGTATTTATATTGGGACTATTTTGAGGGAGAAAAACTTAGAGCTTCTTCACTAGTGCCTTCTACATATGAAAATAAAATTGTCAAAACCCAAAGAACTCAAAGCAGAGCTATAATCATGTTGACTAACTTGATGTGGATTTAAATTCCATTTGACCTTGTTTTTTGTTTGTGGATATACACTGAGGATTAGAAAGTACTCCTAACAGAAAGGAAAGTAATCACTAAACTGCTAAATTTTTTCCATTAAAATTTTAAATTCCTCTTTAGCAGGATGCAAAAATTCATAAATTAATAGTCTCTCTCAAAGTTGTGAGCAGGTAAGAAGTTGAAAGAATATCTTACCTGAAGCTTTCTTAACGACTTCAACAGAGGTAAAATGGCACAAGGCAGCAGCAGCCAGTATTCTGTACTGGAACTCTAATGAATCAATGGCTAGAGTACACAGATCTAAAAGCTAAAAAGGAGAAAGCAAAAGTACAAGTATTTAGGAGGAGAAGGATAAGTACTACATGTAACTACTAAATATCAGTCAACTAACATTTTACAGTGCTTATGATATGGACCATATGCCAAGAATTGCTAAAACTAAAGGGTCAAAGATAAAAAAGCCACCACCCTGAGTCTTGGGACTATAGGTTAAAAGTGAATAGACAGGATTGTTAAATGCAATGTGACATAAGAGTAGGAAGGGCACTAATCCAGAGTGGGGAAGACAGGAAAGAATGCTGCTGCTTAAATGAATCTTCAAGAGGAGGTAGCTAGGAAGATTGGGAGAAGATAGCATTTGCAAAAGTAAATGAGAAAGTAATACCCTATTTCCCCAAGTATAAGATGCACACTTTTCTGAAAAATTTGGGGTCTAAAAACTGGGCCCATCTTATACAGTGGTTGTAGATTTTTTTAACTTGCATTTCCCACTTTGTCACGCTTGTCTTTGCGCTCATTGTTTCACACTTGTTACTGGTATATTAGGGTAGGTTACGTTTTGCCATGTTCTGCCCAGAAATGGCTCAGAAAAGATTTTCGTACAGTGCTAAATTCAAGTTAAAAGTGATCCAGTTTGCAAAAATGAATGGAAATCGTGCTGCTGAATGTAAGTTTGGTCCTTCTCCAACTGAGAAAACAATCCGAGACTGGCTACAGAAAGAAGAAACCCTACTGAAAACACCATGGCAGAAGAAGGCCATGAGAGGCTATATATGAAGACAGTGATTCGTCATCAGACACAGAGGACACGCTAATGGTTTGGTGTTTTGACAGTGATGAGGAGTTGTATGAATTTAATGATGAATAAAACTTGAGTTCGGGCCGACTGGCACGTTGGTTAAGAGCTGGCTTGGGATGCCAGAGGGCCAGTGACACTGCCCTCTACAGCTAAGATGCTGAACAACAGCTGGACCTGGAGCTGGGCTGCCATGAGTCACCGGCGACGGCATAGGTTGCCATGGGCTACCGTGTGTAGCCAGCAGCCAGCGTGAGCAGCTGTCCAGAAGCCGGCAACTGAACTGCCTCACCCGGGAAGAGCGCAATGATGGTGCCAACTTGGGCCAGTGAAGCAACAACCTCCACAACTAGACTGAAGAACAAAACGACAGCAACTTGTCTGTTCCCCTTCCCCCAATTCCCCAATTAAAAAAACAACAACTTCAGTTCAATAACTATGTAATACATTTTTTTTCAAATTTCGGGCCCCAAAATTAAGGTGCGTCTTATACATGGGGAAATATGGTACTTTACCTTAGAACTCTAGTTCAGAACACTTAGAGTAAAAAAAAAAATGAAGCAAGGAGTACCTTTTCTTCTTTATTTTTAAAAAAGGGGGTAGCTGCAGAGGCACAGCCTAGATTAGATCATAAAGGGTCTTTAAGAAGTTGAGACTTCTGACCGATTATTGAAATCACTGGAAGATTTTAAATCAGGAAAGTTACATTTTAAGAACCATCTGTTAAGACTACAGTGAAGCAGATACACAAGGGAACATGTTTCTAAATGATGAGGTTAAGAGGCAGTATAATCCAGGCAATAAGAGCTGAACAAGGAGCAGTGGAATGATGTAAAAGGGCTAGACTTCAAAGGCCTAAGCTGATACCTGTCCAGTGGAATAAAACTTAAATTATATTTGCTCCCATTGGTTCCAAAAGTAGAAAAAGGGGTAGAGGGTTGGAAATGCATTATACCTCTAGAAACTTCCTACATTGTTTATCAGCTTATCAAAGGTTTGCCCTCTGTCGAAAGCATATACGAGATAGCTGCTTATGACAACCTGGGATGCTGGGAATTCTGACAGAAAATATTAATAAGCATTAAAAGATTCTGCAAAATGAAACAATTACAATGTATTTACTGGTTAACAAGTTTTAGTGTTCATAATGTGTTTACTAGATTTAAAACACAAGTTAAATTTCAACCTAGGTTACTTAAAACCCATCCCAATGTACCATAATTCCTTCAATTCCATAGTAAGATTTTAACATCCTACACAGAATAAGAATGTAGATTTTCTTATATGTGGCAATTAACAGCAGCCTTAAGATACTATGAAAAGTAGACAGGAAAGAGTGGTACCCTCCTCCTTTAATTACTTTGTTGTTAGATGCTGGCCTAGGAAAGCTTGGTTTGAACTTAAATTTTTTTAAAAATGTAAGGTGATTTTAATTCTAATTTGTAAAATAGGTACCCTGTGTATTCAAATATTAAGAGTATGATAATCAGGGCGGCTGGATAGGTCAGTTGGTAAGAGCGCAAGCTCTGAACAACAAGGTTGCCGGTTCGATTCCCACATGGGCCAGTAAGCTGCGCCCTGTACAGCTAATATTGTGAACAACGGCTCAAGTGTTGAGTGATTGGCAGCCAACGTGGGCTGCCAAGAGCCGTGAGCAGCCAGCCGTTGACTGGCGACTGACGGCTGGTGACCGACTGCCTCAGCCAGGTAGAGTGCAATGATCATAATACCAACATGGGCCAGTGAGCAGCATCCTTCACAACTAGACAGAACAATGGCTTTGAGGTGTGGGGGAGGGGAGAGAGGGGAAAAAAAAGTATCCTAGTCATGCAGAATAATTTCATACCATTATAAAGCTCGGATATAACTGGCTTATAAATACTTTTCCCCATTTTATATCAAAATGAGGTATTTAATTCTCTATTTTGGACTCCTTAAGAATGAAAAGTATTCATATTTAAATTCATAGTTTAAAAACTTGTTTTCTAGAATTAAGCAACATAAATATTGGGGACAGAATTTTTATGCATCAGAAGTTTTGTTCTAGTCAATTAAAGAGTGAATTTAATTCAATATGCGATCGCTTTGTTGTATAGCCTATTTAAGACTATAAATACACTCAACAAAACCTGTAATTAACAATAACATTAGCATAATTCAATAACAATGTCAATACCTGAGCTATCTGAATGAACTTTTCCTGAGAATACTGAGGTAGAAGAACTTTAGGAGCATCTTTAAGAGCATCAACTTGGAGGAAGAGATTTAGCCAGGAGATGATTGTTACAGGACAAAGTTCCCATTTTAAAGCCTGTTAATGTAATTAAAATGCCTGTTAATAAATGTAGGTACATATATATATTATATAGCTATATTCTTAACTAGTCATTTAAGAAACATTTTCTGCTTTTAGGCTTTTTTCTTCCTAGGAGTTTTATGATTCTGACCCCTTTTATTAAAGATATTTACAGATACCTCACAATCTAAAGCTGCTTGTGTTTTACAGTCTATTATTCATATATTAACAGATCCCTTTATGATTCTCTAGTTGTCTTTATTTACAAAGTTTATTGAGCCTATTCATTCCTACTTTTTTCATTTCTTGTAGTCCCTGGTCTTCCAAATCTTAAGCTTTTTTCTGTGATCTCCAGTGACTTCTAGTCAAAATGTAAAAGTTAAAAAAAAAAAAATACAAATCCCGACAACTAGACTGAAGGACAAAAGGACAGCAACTTGTGTGTTCCCCTTCCCCGATTTCCCAACACTGTTCCCCTCCTCCAATTCCCCAGTAAAATCTTAAAAAAAAAAAAAGACAAGTCCTAATTTATATCTTTCCCTCCATGAAGCCCTGAAGCCTTGAGACTTTACCATTTATAAGAAGTCTAAAATAATCAGAACAGAGTCTTAACGCCTGTAGAAGTACCCAGAGAATTCCATCTCCCTTTACATACAAATCTGAATCTGGATGATTTTATTAGAACAATAACATGCCAACAAGATCCCATTCTAAGAGCTATGTGAATGTTACAGTTTGTAAATATATAAATTTATAATTTATATTATAATGTATATCATTTATAGATAATCTGTAAATGAGTCATACAGATTGGGTTTTCTTGTATGCCCTATTTAGAAACCTATGATGTCCAAATTTAATAACATACTTTCTAGTAGCTCACATTCTTTAACTGAAAGCTTTATTAAACACTTTTATTCTTCTCTCCTCCACCCTTCTATTAATAGTCCTTTCTTTGCATATAGAAAAAATTTTAAAAGCAGTGAAATAATTCTCATTATCTGCTGGAAGAAAGGGAAAATAAGATTTGAAAATCATTGTTGGAATTCATTTATATACACATGCTATACTACTAAACTACCTATATGTTTTGAAAGTGTTGTCCTTAACCACTTTTACATTAAAAGCAAAAAACAGAAAAAATACATCATGACTTTTCCGACAACCAAATAGTATATAGTATATTCTCAATATAGGAAACTTGAAAGATACAGAAAAATAGAGTACATGTTAAGTAAATTCTTCTCCCATCCATACCATGTCAGTCTTTTGCATTAGCCTTTCAGTCTGGATCCTAATACTAAAAGCTCAGTTTTACTTATATTGTAGTCTTTAAGACTACAGTAATAATTACTCAGTTATTAAATTGCAACTAGAAATAAAGATATAATTATTACCTTTAATATAATGAGTTCCATCCTTAAGATATCCTCCTCACTGCAAGCACCATCAGTGACATAAGCAAACTCTTGTAGTTTAGGAGCATAGATTTCCTTTAAAATGGATTTTTAAAATTAAGCACAGTTGAGATTGAGATTAAAACAAAAGAATTATATACAAACCAGATACAGACTTCATTTTTAAGGACAGCTTTACAAAGTGATTATAAATCTTAGTAAAATAATTCCATGGTAGCCAAAGCAAAACATTACATTTAAAGGTATTTTTCATATTTAGGTCTAAGCCAACTAGATTGAGACTTATTTTCATAGAATTGATCTTGAATTTTAGTAATAAACAAGAGTATTTTAACTAGTCATTTCAGTTAAAACACAAAAAGCAAAACTTATTTTAAGATTGCCTAGTATATTGGTCAGACCAAAACAAGACACTCAACAAATAAGTTCTAGAAACTGAAAACATTTCCTTTACCCTAATACAAAAGTATGGTTAATCACAAAATACTTTGTGCAGTTTGGCTGATGAAAGGTCTGCCTTAACAGTCCAGAGAACAACTATAATGATCAAAGGAGCAGAAGAGATGCCTGCCACAGATGGGAACAGGCTAAAGATCAAGATTTCAGTCTAGAAAGATCTGAAACAATACGATTTCAGGTAAGGATATGCTGAATACAAATGTATTCACCAAATTTGGCAGAATTTGGGGATAGCCTTTAAAGGTGAAAAATTTGGAAGAAGAAAAATACACTTAAGGAAATTAATGCATGATTCACAGTCCCTCTCCACTCAAAACAATACCAAAAATTTCAGATGAAGGTACTAATGATATAATGCATTAAGTAGATTGAGACTATGTGAAAGAAAATCTCAGACAGGAAAGGACTTGCCTTCTATCCTGCCACCACCATCAGATACAGAAATATTAGGCTGGATAAAGACCATTATTCTAAACGAATAAAGCATTTATTTCATTTGATTGGTTGATTAGTTTTCAAAGACCATTCTATTGAATCCGAATGCCATAAGTATGTGTATAGGTACAGCAATGAGATAATTTGGTAGAATTTCACCTAGATACAAATTCCAGAATGTAAACCTGAGACTTACAATAGGCTTAGACACTAAAAGGGAACTACTGGTACTTAACCTTTGCATCCAAATCATAATGTTCAGAAAATGTACTGAAAAAAACATCTTTCTAAGGAGTTAAAGTAGTATTTTCTGGAATTACTGTGTTGATTTAAAAAAAGTTTGGGGTAAGTATGTCTGGATACACTTTGAGAACTTACCTCAAGTTTAGAAGCAATGAATAATGAGGTAATTCCAATTAGTTGAAGCATATTTTTATTTATATCCTTTTGTGTCAACATAAATCTATCAAAAAAGTCTTGGGCAAGATAAAATGTTTCCCTATGAAGTGTGTATACTTCACATACCTAGAGAAGAATCCAAAGATTTAAATATTATTCTATGAATATTCCCAAATTAGAAAGTTATCTCTTAGCATACTAGACGTTAGAATACTTTTATAAGCCCAACTTTGCTGTTTAGGATACCAAAGCTAAGATTGGAATGTGAGGAAAACATGCACTAATAGGAAAAACTAATCTATTGCTGTCCTCAGTCTTATTTTTTTTACATGTATTAATGTATTTATTCCCATATACATTTACACTTTTACTATGAATGAGAACTTCTGTTAAGTTCCTAATTGTTTACTGCTGATAAAAGGGTAAGTTTTCATGCTGAGTTTATATTCTTACTAATTTGAATAGTTCCAATTGATTCTGTTTATCATTTTAGGTAGACATTTAAAAAAATGACAATGGTGTTCTGTTCAATATTTTCACCTCATTTGTTTTTCATGTTTTACTGCATTGGCTAAGATTATAGAAGAAAACTGAATAACGTTGGAGATAGACAAAATCTTTATCATATCTCTTGTTTCTGACTGTAATGGGAATTCCCCTGTTTCACTATTATTATTATTAATAATAAATAGTATCTGTCATTTTCACACTTATTATAAAGAAAGCTTTTAATTCCCAAAATAACTTCATGAAGTAGGGGCCATTATCCCTATTTTGAAGGTAAGGAAACAGGGATAGAGATACATGAGTTTCTAATAATGTGTGAAGGAAATCTCCTATTCCTAGTTTACTAGATATTTAAAATCATGAATGGATGTTGAATTTCAAAAATTATCTTTCACACTATGGAGAACTCATGGTTTTTCTCCTTTAAACTATTAAGGTAATAAATAGGTTTTCAAATGTTGAACCATTTTTGCATTCCTAGACTGAAAGACTATACTAAGACAAGGTAGAGCTTAACACTCTTTTGGATTTATTATATTCATAGGTTTTGCATATATAATCATATATTTAAGGGAAAATAGGAATAAATTTGACAAGACAACCACTGGGTAAAATCAATGTAACATAAAAAGAAAAAAAATCAATATAATTGTGCTTAAGTTGCTTCCCTGATTACTAGACACGTAGAAAAGGTCAAAACCCAACCACCTTCTTATACCCACATGGTAAAATATAATCTTCCTTTCTAGTCAGAATAAGGAATTAAGATAACCTAACTCAAAAGGACATTTTGTAGTCCTCTTTTTTTTTTTTTTTAAGCTGAGCCATCCTGCCACCTGTTGGCAGCTCAGCGGCAGCTCAGCTTGGGTGGTGAATCGAACCTGCGACCATGTTGCTCAGAGCTCGCACGACATTTTGTAGTCTTAAAAACTTTTCTGAATAGCTTCTGAGATCTACTCCACCAAAAAGCCCATAGTCTTTCTCCTTTAAAATACATCATCTCTATTTTAGAGATAAGGACACTACAAAGCAAATATCCAAGGCTTAGAGAAAAATCTGTTTGTCATTAACACAAGTGATCATTTCCTCAATTCCAGAGAGTTTTAGAATTATTATCCAGAGGAAGGGAATGGGCCTAAACAAAAGAGAAAGTTCTGGCAAACATCTTTAGGGATTTTAGGGTCACTATTATTCCCTTAGGTTAATGGTACAGTGTATTTCTGAAAGGAATAGAGATATATAATAATGGGAAGCTACATGGAGTCTAGACGGCTTAGGGCTTCTTAATATTCAAAGCCTCTTTATGGTTTCAGACATAGAAATCAGGACTCCACATTATAATTTGATTTTGGTGATGCAGAAAAGGACCTCTGAAGGCCACAAAGCCTAGTCTTGGTTCTTCACTTTGCATAGCACAATTCAAAACCTTGTGAATTACATAATCCATTCATCTTGAATATTCTCAGCACCTAGAATGGTGCCTGGTACACAGCGACACCCAAATACCAAGAATTCTGAATTGAGTTTGGGTTGTATAGTATCTAATGGCTGTGTCCTCATGATTTTACTCTTATAAATTAGTCATTTTCCATTTTGGTGCCATCAACCGAAGTACCCCTCAAAAGATGGCTGCTGGCAATGGACAGTATACCAGAAGGGCACACTGAAAATATTTATGTCTAAATATTTTCCATCATACAGAGACAGGAAATTTGTATTGCTGCAACATACCTCTAAAAGCCAGTCTAGAAGTATTGACCTCATCTGTGGTTCCAAGTCAGAATGCAGAACTTCAAAATGTTTGTCATGAACATATCGGGTCTCTTTCTTTAACATATTTAGCCAAACATCCTTTGAACATCCCCAGCTATGGAAAGGGGATAAAAAGAAATAATTTGTGTGATCTACACAATATACAAGTTATCTGTTTTACATAGGAAAAAACTCAAGACTTTGAAATCCAACTTTCAATTTGAACTTGGAAGAAGATGCACTTGAAGTAAATTAGGAAAAAATTGCTACCTTAACTTTTAGAAACCATTTCTTTAGCATGAAAAAGTAGAAGCCTGAAGTTTATACTTGGACTACAATAATCTAAACAGATTTCAAGAGTGTTTTCTAGTTCCCATTTACTTATGATTTATAAAAGTTCCTGTTTAAAATAACCATATTTTCTCAAGAGCAATACTAAAAAGGTAAATATTTAAAGTATATGATCCCAGTTGAGACAAGTCTCAATCATCTCCAATAGGTTGGTTATCAATAGTAGAGTCACCTACAGTGGGGGTAAGGTGTAAGAGTACAGGGAAGGGGAGGATTGGTGAGTTTAAATGTCCATTAATTTGCTTATTAAGGCCAAATATAAATTATTACACTAGATGTTTTATATAAGCTGTATCTCTTAGTCATATTAACTAGAAAAAAAGAGATATAAACCGTACTAAGCTTGGTAAGAAATAAATGGGGTTGATATATCAAATGAAAATGCTGTTTGTACATGTTAACAATGCTTCCATCTTCAGATAAGGCCTACAGCAAGCAAATGAAAATAACTTTCTAGAATCAGTGTTTTAAATTCCCATATCATTTCATAAATAGCACTACTCAATATATGCTTAAATATTAGTAAAGAAAGCAATTTTTTACAAGTTTTTCTCTTATAATGAAGGCAAAAAAAATAACTCCAAGTATCAAATATGAAATCAGTACAATTTTAATATTTGACATTACTGAAATTTTTCTTACCTTAAGTCAGGCAAAGGTGAAGGATTAATAAAAAGATTTTTAAATCTGTAATTTGTAAATCTGGAGAAGTCACTTGTTCCTATTTCTTTGTGGGGTGTTTCAATGATAATGCAAGGACTGATCCCCCCAGATAATACAGGTGGCCAACAATTCTGTCATTTAAAAAAAAAAATCTATTTGTGCATTAGGAAACCAGCTTTTGTCTTGGATCTTTCATAAATGGAAGCTAATATTTCTAAACAGTCTATAATTTTCCCCAAATACCATCATTAGCTAACATTGCTGACAATCTAGTTTAAGTTGACATTTATATTTTATAAATAAACCATATAGCTCATATCAACCTTCATAAAAAATAACAGTATGTTTTAGACAATAAAATATAATTCTGGAAATACAAGACATTACGTATTGGGGGAAGGGAGGAATAACAATGCATCTGCAGTCACATACTAATCACTTTCAAAATTATAGAATTGAAGTTCTCTCTTTGTATTTAGCAATAATGGCAAGAGCACCTGGTTTTATAAGATCTCCCCCCCCCACCCCCCACCCCCTTAAGCCTGTTCCCATACTAAGATTACTTGCAGGCAAACCCTTAAAGATGAAAGCAAGTGGAATCAATTACTTAAATACTATTTAAAGGACCCTTTCCCCAATCAGTGCTGGTTTCAAAGTGAACCACTGTCTCTAAAGTGTTTTCTGTACAACACATAGGAAGAATACGTAGCAAAAGGTGGTGTTTGTCAGTGACTTCGCATCCTACTTATGCCCTAAGGAGCAGCTATTAGGACCCTCCATTATCATCAGGGAGGGAACAAAGAGCAGACCATTGGACAGATTAGGCGGGTCCTGGTGCAGTGGGCAGCTCCAGGAGAGAGGGAATTTACAAAGAACCAGCTGCTTCAAAGGCAAACTCACTCTGCGGCTGTAGGATTCAGGCATATACAAGCCACCCAAAGTTAAGTGCCTTCCTGTTGACCTCTAGGGGCATCAAAAGTACAAGTGTCAGAGTAATCTTTCTACTGCAAAGCAATAACAATTCTATTCTTATTCGTCCTGCACTTGTTTTTCCCAAACCCACCCAGCACAGTTCTGCATTACCCTAATCTCGTACTGATGTTTCTTGGCGACTTTCTCCTCTTTTCTTTTTTTGACATCCTGGAAAATAGAAAAGACGACTGTTATACTAAGGACCCAGCAAGGAATTTCCTCTTCTCCCTCGCTCTCCCCTTAACTCACCTGGGCTGTTTTTCTCTTCTTAGCCAGAATTATCTGGGCTTCTTGGGGGGACTCCGTATGGCTGGGCTGGGGCTGCTGCTTAGCTTGTAAACGGTTACTATGATGAATTTTTTAAAAGCAAGTTTAATTAGTAAGTCATGCGTCTCAAAGGCAACAGTTAACTTTGAAACATATCTCCAAACCAAATAATGTTACCTGCGTCTTGACATTCTCTTCTTTCAGGTGTATGAAACCTCTGGAGGAGAGAGAGGAACCCGGAGTCAAATACATTATAATCCATATTCTACAAGTGCCAATTAGACGCGATTCAGAGGTTACAACTAAGCCCCTCAGGAGATGGCCTGAGCCATTCTACCATGCCGTCTTCGGCACTGTATCAGGTCATGGTATTAATTTTGGACACATGCTTGCATTTCCTCAACCGGGAGCAAGTGTCTTCAAATATTTACAAAGCACACCACAGCACCCTGAACGCGCACGGAAGCAAATCTCCCCCAAATGGGTCTTCTCTGCGTTCTCCACCCTACCCTGAGTGGAGCTTGGGCAGCGCCCCACTTCCCCTCTCCCATCCTGGATCAGCTGCGGGGAGAGGGGGTTGTGGACGCGAACGCTGTGGAGAAGCCGGTTCCGCGCCAATTTGGAGAACGGCGGTGGCGGGGAAGCAGGGGGCGGAGGGAACTGAGACTTGTGTCACGTCCTTCGGTCTCCTTTCCCTCCTTCCCCGCCCCACCGGGCCCTGCCCGCTTCTTGGAGAGGGACCCATGCTCCAGATAGGGGGTGGCAGTAAAAGAAAGGGAGTTGAATACTGGGGGAAACTGCTGGTTGGGAAAATTTTCTTCCTGTGAAGGGGACCCAGACACCCATCCTCTCTCCCACGGGACAGCTCCCCAGATGAGGGCGGAAGAGAGAAGCCCCTAGAATGAAGACCATTTCCGTGGCCTTCCACTTAGGGGTAAGCCCTCCATCCCCCGCCGCTTCCCCGGCGCCCTGCCAAGGGTCCTGACAGGGACCGAACGCGGGGGACCCAGCCCCCTCCCCACCTCCCAGCCGCCTAGTTCACAGCCTTCCCACTTTTCCTCTCTCAGCTCTCGCCCGCGGGATGGATATCAGCCCGGCGCGGGGGCTTTCTTTCCTCCCGCATCCCGCCCTACGTACAGTGTCCTCAGCGCCAGACCCGCTACCGCTCGCACTCAGCTGGCGCCGGCGCCAATCCAATATATAGGCCGGGCCGGGCCCGCCCCGCACGCATGCGCTTCAGACTGACACCTCAGGCCAGCGCGCTCCCCTCCCCCGCGCGCCCGCGCGCCCGCACCGCAGGCCCGCGCACCCGCCCTGCGTGTGTCCGCGCCAGCCCATCCTTAGGGGCCGTAGGACGCGCTCTCCCAGGCCCTCAGTCCGCGGCCACCTGCGCCGCTCTTCACCTGTCTGCGAAGCCCGCCGGCGGGAGGGAGTCTCTCAGAAGCTCCTCCTCCGTAGCCTGGCTCCCCGCCGCTTGGCTTCCGCACCTCCCGCCTATATGTTCGTGTCCCCTCCCGCCCTGAACTCCTGGATCCCGGGGTTATTAGGCCGTGGCTCAGTCCCGGCGTACGGCCAAGCTTGGGCAAGCATCGAGTAGCTAGAAAGTGACCGTCCTGTGGCACACCCTGCCTGTCCCGCCAAGGCCTTGAGGAGCCGGGTTCTTTCCTAAGAGACTCGGGGCCCAGGTGGCCCCGCCCCTGCGGGAGGAGCGCTGCTCTGGCTGGCGAGCTGTCCAATGGGAGGCGAGGACGGCAGCACAACGTGGAGAGGCTGCAGAATGTAAACACAGTCAGGCGCGCCGCAAGCCACGTGTGTCCCCGCTCGCCCTCCGTGGGGCTCCTGGGGCTCCCGAATGCCCGCTGTACCCCTATCCCAGGACTGCCATGCTCAGGGATGCCTATCTTGCACTTTGCTCCAGACTGCTGACCGAGGTACGGATCAACCCTGGTTTCCCGCTCTCTGCTCACCCGACGGGCTCACCCTCCCCGTGGGTGGGCCACTCCACACCCTGCCCCACTCTGTACACGAAACGCTCGCGCCATCCCGTGCCCTGTCTTCTCCCAACCTCCAATTCGGGGGCCCCCAAGGGTAAAACACCCCTCCGGAGCGGGGCCGGGGATGACATTTTACATTCCCCATGAACGCCTCTCCGGGTGCGGGGCCCGGCGGGAAAAGCGGTGCCACCACGTGCAGGCTCCGGGGACCCGCCCGCCACGCCACGCCCCGCTCCGCTGCAGCCAGCGCGCCCTGCGGAGCCCGCGCGAGCGGCCAGCGCGGGAGGCAGCCGCCCGCCTCGGAACTGTAAGGGGAGGAGGCGGGTCCGGCGCATTTCCTTCCCTTTCCCCCATATCTAAATTTAGGGGTCCCCTTGCTGCCTCTGTTAACGCCCCCGCCGCAGAGCGCCCCAAGACTGGACATCTCCAAGGAGGACATAACGATGATACTCCGCGAACAGGTTTTGCGGCGGGAGTGGTGGGGCGGGGGCCTTCTGCTGGAACAAAGATCCCGGTGCGAAGGTTCCCTTGAACCCAAGCATCCCCGGCTAGACGCGGGCCAGCCTTGTTTGTCTCTGTGCCCCAGCCCCGAGTGAACGGTGGGAGAGGCCCGGGAGACGGCGCTGCTCCAGCGGGCCCGGTGTCGCGGCGGAGGCGGGAATCCTTCCCGAGATGCACCAGGAGGCGGCGGCCGGGACCCATCCGGTGTCCACTCGCTGCGCCTTTTGTTTTGCGCCGCCTGTGCGGGCCTCAGAGCCCAGAAATAACGAGTGCTTTTCGGGCTTTCGGGCCAGCAAAGAGGTTTTTTTTTTTTTTTACACACTTTTCTCTTTAGCTTCTTAGAACAGTCTTGTGACGCCGGCAAAGTAATTGTTTTTCTCCCAAAATTACGCATGAGGAAATAGTAAGAGTCTTGCCCAAGGTGGCGCAGAATTAGAAGAGACCCCAAATCTTGTCAGTCCCAAGAAGCTTCGTACCATTTGTAATTCTTACCATGGCTCTCTCATTAGGGGAGGAGTTGCCTCCCTTCTGCAGTCACCTCATAACGCTTTTACGGTGTGAAACTTACAGAGCTAAAAGCATGATTGTAAGAAAAGAAAAGGGTGGTCTTCCAACAAGCGTGTTAGCCAAACATAAGCAGAACTGGCGACCTGCATGGTATTTTGATAATCAAAATATACTAAACACCAAAATATACTAAAAACATTTATAGGATTAATCTTGGAGTATTGTATGCCCAGCACTGGGCTAACTAGTAAATTACTTGAAAACAAAACACTGTAATTAGAAATGTACTTTGGTCAATGTCCTTGACTATGAAGTGAACAGAGTGCAATCATAGAAACACTCCCAAGACTGCTTTGTGTGGACACCAACAGGGTGACTTCTGCCATATTACAAGTACCTGGTCTACGTGGGACTAAACAGAACATGGGCTTACCTGTCAGGTGAGCTGAGGTTCCAATTCCATTCTGCTGCAATTTACCAGATCCCTCTGGGTCTCCTCTAGAAAAGCTATAACAAGACACTTATTTCAAGGGTTTTAGAGATTACATTTGACAATGCATATAGAAACCTTTTCTTGCTTGTGTACCTGTTACAGAGCAGGTGCCTCAGTGCTAGCGCTTCACTCTCCTGCCCACCTATTACTAGTTTATTCCATAGAAATTAAGAAGTAATTTTAAGGATCCTGAATAAAACAGAAAGCTGAATTAAGAAATTGCTGCTTCCTAGAATTTTGTTCATATAATCATCCTTTTGGGTACCTGTTTTAGGCATTGAATATATCTTTGTTTCATATTTTTTATGTTCATTTTTAGCTCCCTTTTCCCCACTCACCCCAGTTTTAAAATTCACTTACTTTGAAACGTGTGAAATTCCTTTATGCTTATAATTTTAGAAAATTTGGCATTTTCTACAGTATATTTTCCCCACTGTGCATGCAAAGTTAAAACACCATGGTATTGGCCTCTATAGTGCTTTCATTTTTCAGAAGAAAGGGGGAGGAAAAAACCCAGGAAGATTCTTAGTTTTACCCTCATGTCTTTTTATTGCTGCAGGATCCGAACATCACACTTAGAAGTCATGTCTCCTTAAGGTTCCTCTTGGCTGTGACAGTTTCTCAGACTTCCCTTGTTTTTGATGTCCTTGACAATTTTGAGGAGTCCTGCTCAAGTATTTTGTAGGATGCCCTTCTATTGGAATTTGTCTGATGTTTTTCTCATGGATAGACTGAGGTTATGGGTTTGGAGGAAGATTACAGAGGTGAAGTGCCATTTCATCACCTCATATCAAGGATACACACTGTCATTATGGTTTATGACTGTTGATATTGACCTTGATCACCTGGTAGTGTTTGTCAGGTTTCTTCCTTGTAAAGTTACTCTGCCCCCTCTTTTCATACTATGCTCTTTGAAGGAAGTCACTGTGCAGCCGACACCTAAGGAGTGGGGAGTTATGCTCCTCCTCCTTTAGGGTGAAGTATCTACATAATTTATTGGGTTGTCGGAAAAGTCATGACGCATTTTTGCAACGAAAAACAGGAAAAAAAAGTCATGACTTTTCCGACAACCCAATATTTAGAATTTTTCTGCATGGGAGATTTTTTTTTTCATTTGATTAAATTTGTTCATTATCCATCTTAGCCAAAACACATGTAATCCTTCCAAATTTTAATACTGGATTACCCATTAGATTATTCCTTTTATTGCCTCATCAAACACATTTTTCAATAAACTGACTTTGTTTTTTTTTAATGGTGAGTGATGGTACAATGACTACTAGTATAGTTTGGAGCTACCACCTTGATTTATGCTAGGGCACCAACGAATTTAAACACCATTGCATTTGCATCATCACAGCAACACAGTGAAAAAGACAATTTTATTATGAAAATAATTTTGACCTTGTAGTCCCCATGAAAGGGTCTTTGGGACCCCCAGAGGTCCAAACTTTGAGAACTATAGATCCAGTTTCCAAACCAGAATACTGGGAGTCATCCCTTTCTTGTTTTTTTCTGAGTTCCATAATTATAGTTAGCATTTCCTGAGTAAAATGATGTGTTAAGCTCTACTCAGCTTTTACATTGTATGAAATCCTGTAAACCTTCACCAACACTAAGAGACAGTTGCTATTACTGTCATCCCCACTTTACAGACGAGGAAGCTGAGGCACAAACATAATTTGCCCAAGACCCATAGTGGAGTCTGACCCCGGCACCCCTGTGCTGTGCTGCCTCCCATTACTACATTATTTCCAGATGAATCCTCTTTTTTTCCCTCTGCTCTAGTCCAGGAATCCAATCTTTCTTCAATAATGCAGTAATCTCCTAACTGGTTTTCCTGACATGTGTTGCCTCTTCTAATCTGCCTTCCAAGTTATTGCCGAAGCTGTCTTTCTGAAGCACAGATCTGCCACTCTGCCACCGCCCTGCTATGGATTACCTTGGGTTAAAAGCCAAAAACCCCTTAACTTAACACACAAAGCCTCTTGTACCTGGGAAGTCCAACTGCATGCTGTTTTCCACACCCCCGCCCTTCTCTCCGGCCTTTGCACCTGTACCTTGCGTTCTCCCCACCTCCACTGCCTCCCCACAGCTAACTCTAATACAGCCAATAATAAATAAACACGCTTCCTCTAGAAAGCTGACCTGCCTGCATTGTGTTAGGGCTCTGTTTTATACTCCTTGCTCTCCTACGGCTCCCCTCCTGGCCAAGCTTCTACCACTGCCCTTATCAGGCTGCCGGGAATCTTGAGAGGCTGGGGCTTTCTCTTTCCCCGCTGGGATTCTCACACCTGGCCTGGGGCCTGGTGGACCACAGCCCCTTTTGTGGGATGCCTAGAAGGTGCAGTAGAGGTGTACTCCCTGGGGGTGACCCTGATAACAGACTCCAGGGAACACTCTTGAAAGAGCTCTGCAACTGGCATCTTGGAAGGCTCAGTAGGGTCACTGCTGAGCGCTGCACTCTAGAGCCAGAGCAGTTTCTCGTCTCTGGGACTCCAGGAGCACCACGGAGTCTAGGCAGAGAGCACCTGGCTTTGCGGAAAGTGCTCTTGGCCGCCATCGCAGGAAGCGTGGGGGGCTTGAGAAAGAAGGCATCTGAGGGTGTGAGAGCTAGAGCTCATCCTAGAGATGGTCAGTCCAGCTCCCTCAGGGTTCCTGATACTCCACAGTGCAGACAGAGCAGTGCCGGAAATCCAGAATCTCTGACGGGAGGTTGAAATAAGCAGGAGGGTGCATGGTTGATCGGCCTGCTCTGGGCTGGGCACTGTGCTTGTTACTGCAAGGATATGGCGGTTAACAAGAGATGGGTCCTGTCCATAAAAGTTACATTCTACTGGGGTGGGGGAAAGAATAAATGTGTAACAAATTATCATTAAGCACTATGGAAAAGATGAAATAGAGTAATATAATAGAAGGACTACTTTAGCTGTAGGGGGTGTGGAAGGATCTGGGAAGGACTCAGAGGTGACATTTTATCTATTGGGTTGTCAGAAAAGTCATGACGTATTTTTTCTGTTTTTCATTGCAAAAATGCGTCATGATGTTTCTGACAACCCAATAATTCATTCAGTAATTCAGCAAATACTAGGACACAGTAGCGAAGTGACAAAAATTTTTGCCTCCTCAGAGCTTAATTCTAGTGGGAGGGCCATAGACAACAAACGTCAGATATTAGGTTGGTGCAAACATA